CCTCGGTGGGGCTCTCGTGGCCCCCCTCGCGGTGGTGGTGGGGCAGCCCGGGAGCTGGGCCTGGGGACGGCTCTGGGGCCAAGCGGGGCCCAAGGGGGTGACGGAGGAGGAGGAGGAATAGCTGTGGGCGAGGCCTCCCCCCTCCCCCCCCAGCTGCAGGTTCTGCTGCGGTCGATACTCGCCGCGGCCTGGGGGGCTTGGGGCTGCTGGGATCTTTATGCGCCTTCCTCGGCCACTGCTCGCCCTTCCCCTCAGCGCCCGAGGCCGCCGTCTCCGCAGCGGCCTCATCTCGGCAGAGATGCTGTGTTCCGCTCCTCGGAGGGAGACCTGTCTGGGGGGAGCCCGCAGCCTTACTGCTCCCCACGGGAAGGAGCAGGTGCTTGTCTTCTCCCCCTTGCAAGGTGCCCGAGTGGCCCAGCACTGGATGCATGGGGCTAGCTGCTGGGTAGAGTGGTGCTTAGACGTGAAAGCTAGGCACAGCTACCGTGCGGGTGGTACGGTAATGCTGCAGCAGTTGCTGCTTTGCTGAGGGACAGGGACTCCTTAAGCATGTGGTGGCCTCACCCGAGCTCTGCTGGAGGGCAGTGCAGGGAGGTGGATTCAGATGCCTGAGCAGTGAAAGTCCCAGGCTGTGGAGGAGGTGATGCAGGTGGCAGGTGTGTGCCCTGCTGATGGCTAGCCAAGGGGATTTACCCTCTGGGCTGTCGGTGGGAGTCGTCACTGAGTCTCTTTTTCTGGCTGTTTCTCCTAGAGACACCTGGCAGTAGATGTGAGGTGACCTAGCCTGGCTCCCACTGTAGCCTGGCTCCCTGGCATCTGATGATGAGTTTGACCCCCTCCAGGGGATGCCTCCTGGACCTGCCCTGGGAAGACATCTTGGTTCCACATATCCTCTGTCATCTGCCACTGCAGCAGCTCCTGAGCCTGCAGAGGGTCAGCAAGTCGTTCCAGTCTCTCATCCAGCTGTACCTGGCCAACATGCGCTGCTTTGACTCAAGCCAGGTATTGGATGGCTCTGAGGCTGGGGGACACACAGGTGGCCTACTGCTTGGTAGCCAACAGGGGAGCATCTGACTCTGTGGAGAAAAGAAACTCTCAGCGAGGAGGCTGGTTTCTGCTCAGGAGCTTGGGTTAATGGCTTGGGTGTCAGACTGGACAGATGGGCTCAGGGAGGAGAGGTGGTGATTCAGGGCCTAGCAATGTCAGTGTCTTTAGCAAGAGGCCTTGGGAGGAGTGAGCCTGGAAGCTCCACCCAGGCCATTATGGGGCTCTGGCTGGCAGAAACACAGACTGGCTCCAGAGTGGCATGGCCTGGCTGACCTCATGGAGGTTGTGCAACAGGGTGGGTCTGACAGGAGATAACTCTGTGCCTGGTCTTCAGGGAGAGCCTGTGCTGGCTCTGGGAGACACTGCCTGGGACTTGGAAAGACAGGAGTAGCTGCTGTTCTGTGAGGACACAGAGTGGTCTAGCAAAGATTTTAGAAAGCAGAGGTGTGGCGCTTCATCATGAATATATAAATGCAGCAGTGATGATGGGGGATGGAGAAGCCAGAGCATCTTCTAGCTTGTGGCAGTAGCCCTGGTATGAGGGTAGGAGAGCCTGACAGCAGGGTTTGTCCTGGGATGAGGAGAGGAGGTGGCTTTGGTTACCACTGTCACAGTGGAAGAGAGGAGTGGGGAGAGTATTTGCTGAGATTATTTGGCTGATCTGAAACCCTGGGGGATGTCTTATTCTACCTGGGTTCCCTACACAGATCGGACCTGCCATCCCTCGAGCTGCTTTTGTTAGCCTGCTGAAGGACAACGAAGTGCTGCAGAAGCTGGCGCTCCAGAACTGCTCCGACTGGCTGACAGACAGGGAGCTGCTCCCGGTCATCGGGCAGAACCACCACCTGCACCAGATCCAGCTGAAGGGCTGTGCCCAACTCAGCCGCCACGCGCTGGTGGCCATCTCACTGAGCTGCCCCAACTTGCGCCAGCTCTCCCTGGCTCACTGCGAGTGGGTGGACAGCCTGTCCCTGCGCAGCCTGGCTGACCACTGCAAGGCGCTGGAGGCTGTGGACCTGACGGCTTGTCGCCAGCTGAAGGACGAGGCCATCTGCTACCTGGTGCAGAAGTGCAGCAGGCTCAAGTCTTTGTCGCTGGCTGTCAATGCCAATGTGGGCGATGTGGCAGTTGAGGAGATTGCCAAGTGCTGCCCCGAGCTGGAACACCTGGACCTCACAGGGTGTCTGCGAGTCAAGAATGACTCCATCAGGTACTGAGCAATGTAAAAGGGAGCCAGGATGGGGTGGCAGGTGTCTGGGGTGGGGAGAGGAAGAGAACCAGAGAGAAACATCCGATTTCTTCATGGTGAAAGCAATGAGAGCTCAGTCTGGGGGAGAAGCCACTAGCAGGCCCTTCAGGAGAGGCACTGATTGCTACTAGCAGCAAATTTCTGGGCATGTTGTGGAGGGTAGGTCTGGGACCTCACCATGTCCCTTGAGTTTCTTGCAGGCCACCACGGTGCTGCTCCCAAAGGACGGTGCATGTGTGGCACAGTCGTTAGTGCTGGGCTGCTCAGAGTAGAAAAGAGGATGGGTGGTGCAATTAGGCGTCCTGGTTTGCAACCTGCATGTGGTTTCTTTCTTGTCAGGGTCCTGGCTGAGTACTGTCCCAAGCTGCGCTCTCTGAAGGTGAAGCATTGCCATAACGTGGCTGAGTCCAGCCTGAGCATCCTTCGAAGCCGTGGGGTGGAATTGGATGTGGAACCTCCATTGCAGAGGGCTCTCGTTCTCCTGCAGGACGTGGTTGGCTTTGCCCCTTTCATCAACCTCCAGATCTAGAACTGCTGCTGTTGGGGAGGGGGGGACTGACACAACACTGGGATCCCGGGAGGATGCCAGAACTGGCTGCTGTGGAGACGTGCAGAGGGAGAGGTCGGTCTTGTTGGCAAGGCTGGCCTGAGTGGGGCTCACTCTTTCCTCTGGGGCTGTTTAGCAGCCACTGGGTGTTCTTGAGTGGGTTTTGTTGGTGCCTCCGGGGAAAGTAACTCCCTCTGCAGTGGTGTGGAGAGAGCGAGTGACTTGCAGAACACCATGGTGCTGAACAGGCCTTGGCCAGGCCAGCTAATAGCTAGGATTTATTATTTGTTGTATTTTAAATCTCTAAGCAGCAGCTGTCCAGAGAGCAGGAGAACGTGTGATGGGGACTATCCCCTGGGGTGGGTGTGCAGGGCATGCCAACAGAGCTGTGGAACAAAACAGGCCAGCTAGAGCAGAAAGAAGCAAAGCTGCCAGCCCTCCTCTTGGGAGAGGGCAGGCCCCTCTGGGCTCTGGGAGGAGGGCAGAGTGAGCCTAGCTCCAGCCCACAGCCACTGGCCAGCCTGGCACCAAAGGGCTGGCATGGCCCTGGCACAGGCAGTCTGTCTGTCCATGCCCAGGGTGCTGGTGTAGGCTGGTGCAAAATGGGAGTTATTTTCAGCAGGAACATGCTAGATGAACACCAAACCTAGCTGTGCTGTCACCAAAAGCAGTTGGTCATTGCCATTTGTTTCTTCCAGCTTTTGACTTAACATTTCAGTAGCGCCCAGGTCTGCTACTATATCCTACTCTGTGTTGCATGGCTGGAGCTTTGGCACTCAACAGTGGTAAGAAATGGGAGGACCCCTGGCCATGCTGTCGGCTGGCATTTATAGAGTGCTGCAGGTTGTGTTGGCAGGGAGAGCCTAGCTCTGGTGAGGAGTTCAGCTTCAGCCCTTGTATCTGCTAGGTGGTTAACCAGACAGCAGCCACATCTTGTGGTGAATGTGATGAAGAAAGTAATTAGGGGAAGAGAGGATGACCCTGCTCCTATCTTTGGCCCCAGGAGGGATTGGAAGCAGTGTCTCTAAAGCATGTGCACACTCTGGCTCAACTACACACCAACTCACATCATCTTTATTAACACTGGCACTCAGTTTAAAGCAACAGTGCACACAGACTTGTAAAAAGCTTGCTGCAAAAAGCACAAGCCACATCTTGGATCTAAAAATGTCCCATGCAAGGAATAGCAGAGAATGCCCAGGCCCCGAAGAGCCACTGCAGTATGCCCCTGGGGGCAGAGGGACAGCTAGACAAGGAGAGAAGTCTCCTCCTTGTCAACTGGGTTAGTTGAGGAAGCTGAAAGCAGTGTCCTGGCTCCCAGGTTAGTTCCAGTTAGTGGCAGGTAGAGTCGTCCCCTCACCCCTAGTGCCACATGTCTATCCTGCCATGCCTGGCTGGTGAGGTGGAGGCTAAAGAGCAGGAGGACCTGGCTGTCAATGGAACTTGTACTTTCTGGCTGGTTTGAGGCTGATGTAGGTTCTCTTCATCTCCTCGCTCTCAGGTTTCTTAATGTCTTTGTACCTCTCTCCCTTTGTACTCACCACCTGGTTATCAATATAGCGTATCAACTTCTTGGGAGCCTGGAGAGGAAAGAAAGTGGATGGACAGCCTCACTGCTAGGGAAGGGGAAGCAACAAGCAACAGCAGAGCTGTGCTCTGGAGGGTGGGTGCAGGAAGACTGGGATGAGCTGCTTTACCCATCCTTTGTGTTGGGAATATTGGGCAAAACTGGGAACGAAGCTGCCTGATTGGGGGAAGCAGGAGCCAGGCTAGTCAGGAACGGTAGGAACTGACAGACCCTGCAGCACCTTAGCTAAGCTTATCTCCCCTTTTTGCTGACTAGAAGGCTCTATGAGTGGTTCTGACTTTGGCCTGCCCCATTGCTTTTTGGACTTGCAGCCTGATTTTTAGCCAAAGGACATTCCAACTGCTGGTGAGCTGGGATTGTTGCTCTTACCTCTTTGGGTGGAACTGGCCGATGTGTTTTCTGATCGTCTGCACTATCCACCATCATGTATCTGAAAGACAAGAAGCACTTAGTGAACCCTGTAACATGCATTGTCTAGGGCTATTCACAGCCTAAGTCCTTTCTCCTGTGACTAGTTTGTGGCTGTGCAGTGTGTCCTACTTGCCTGGATTGCAGCTAGGAGTACTTAACGTTCCCCTCGGGATGAAATGGGCAAGAGGTGTGTCATTCTTCTGGTGAGAACCCAGCAGGATTCTCCTGAAGTAGCATCCTTGTTTGTATGTGAAGGGTATTGAGAACTCGGGCTGAAGAATGCCAGTAGGCCCTGTGGAACTGAGAGAGGTGCCGAGGTCTGGTGTGCTCTGCCTTTGGGGCAGCTTTGCTCTTTCTCAGCCCAAGTGACAGCAGCTGAAGATGACAGAGGTGAGATTACAGGACCAAGCTGGCTGCTTCTGCCCTGAAGAGATGGTGTTCCTTTCACACTCCACCTAATACTTGACTACAAAACAGGTCTGTGCTGGAAGCAACTTCACAGAAACATCACCTCATTCCCTGTGTGACTGAAGCATCAGGGCCCAAGCATTTACTTGCTGTACTGCCGAGTTACTACTCTTGAGACTTTGGTGCTAATTTACAGGTGGGCAGTGCAGCTGACCATGATTTCTCCCTCAGTAGTTAGTCTAGTTGCTCCTGTGTATCTTCAGCTATGGTGATCTGCTCTCTGTACCTGTGCTTGAGGAATGTTTAAAGTACAGGATGTTGCCAAAATGTCATTAAAGTGAAATTCCCAGAAACATAACTAGCAGCTGGTGCTTTTTTGTTCCCTTACATGTCACCCTGAAACAAGTCTGCACAGGAGACAGGCAAGGACAGCAATTGCTAATTCTACCTGGATGCCATTCTGCCTTGCTTTATCTTCCCTAGCCCACTGACTTGTTTGTTCTGTCACTGAGGAGGATGTAAAGTGGTGGAAAAGATGTGGCTGGATAGACATGTGGAATCTGCATGCCCACAGGAGGATACTCATGAAAGCTGAGATCTTACTGCAGATCGATGAAACCACACTGTGGGTTCTCCTATTGAGAATTAAATGCTTTTGGAAATGAGTAAAGGTAAACCGAAGAAGTCCATAGGGGCAGTTCAGAAAAGTCTCTTTAAATGCATTTTATTCACACCTTCAGCAACTGAGATTTAATCTTCCCAGTGTTGCTGTACAGGCAGTCTCTTAAAGGTATCTTTAGCCTTGTTTGGGCTGTCTCCAAGGATGGAGGTATGAATGAGTTGCTGTACTTCTACAAGTCACCATGTGTTTGTTACCTGAGCTGCAGCATGTTTGTGCCTTTAACCAGGACCTCAGCTGACAGTACTGTGATTTACACTGTGTCTGCAGGAGGCTGAAACTACGCGCAGTTGGCACTGTGACCCAGCTGGTGCAGATAACCTGTTTCTGTGCCAGAGCTCTAAAACAAACCCAAGCCTGTTTTTTTTTCCCACCTGATTATTGTATTTGTGCTTAGATGTGTTCAGCTACACCCAAATCAGCTTCACAGCATCCTTACTAAGCATGTACTTTACAGTTCCTTATAGACCACATTGAAAGTGCCACTTCATTTCTTGCGAGCAGAATAAGGGGTTCTTTGCTGCTGGGTACTTACTTCTGTAGGATAACCTGTTTTAGTTCCTCATGGTTGGGTGCTCTGCGGGGCCGTGTGAGTTCCTGGGAGGAGACAAGGCAGGTGTGTGAGTAGCAGAACATGTGGGGTGTACAGCTACCCCTCCCTACTAGCTTGGTGACCCCAGTTGCTGGCAGAGCACTCCAGGCCTTGTGGGAAGGGGAGTGCCAGCCACAGCTCCCCTGGGGGCACAGCTAGTAGTCAGAGAGTCAAGGGAGGGAGAGGGGCTGTTGTTCTGGGTCATACTCCTGGCCCACTGCATGGAAAATTCCTGCAGTCAAAGCTTGCAGCAGATAGCTGGGACACTTGTATGTCCCTGAGCTCTGCCCTGCTCCTTGGCCTGTTGGCACCCAACTGAGAGTGCAGTACCTTCACACTCACACCTGCTGGGCCAATTTCCACCTTCTCCTCCACAATTAACTGTACTGCCTCCTCCAAGTTCCCCAAGGCCATGGCAAGTGCTTTCTCTGCCTGGCTCACGGTACAGGCTGGGAACATCTCCAGTAGCAGCTCCACCCCATCCTTCAGGTCAGCGCCTTCCTAGTTGGAGCAAGAGACAAGAGGTAAGTTGGGGATACACTGAGGAGAGGGCTATTGAAAGGGGTGTCTTTGGTTTTGCGCTGTCAGGAAATGCAGCTTGCCCTCAGCTGAAAGCGCTCTCTCCTTACAAGAGCGACTAAATCCCATTCCTGAAGCTAACAGGGGATTGTATCTTTGCAAGGACAAAGCATCTCTCTTCCTTCACCTCCTCCCCCTGTATTTCAGCTTTCTTTAAAGTAAGGCTGCTGTGAACTCGTTCATCGGTGTGGCTGTGCTATGTGTCTCCTTATGAGCTGGACACTGTGGTGCAAATGCTTAAACTCCTGCTCACCTTCTGAAGTTATATGTGCTTTATCAGAAATGGATGGGACTGCTAAACAGCAGCCTGTGGCTACATCAGAACAAAGCACAGCAGGGCCATTTGCTTAGAAGGGTGTTGACACAGAATGACTGCACTGCAGAGCAGGAAGAGATCAGTACTGGAGAAACAGCAAGCAGAGCGTGGGGGAAGGAAGGGAGATATGCCAGGTGCTGCAATGCCTGTAGCATGGGTCATGCTGAATGGTGCTGCAGGATCAGGACTGTTGGGTCAATGACTCAGTGCTGTATAGCTCAGTAAGTGCACAGCATGGAAGGTCACTGGGGGTGGGACAGGCTTCTTCGGGACTGACACCCAGACATGACTGCTTCCTGTGCAGATATTGTGTAATAGCAGGGGAGAAATGGTGATCCAGCTCAAACTCTGAAGGGAGGCTAGGGGAACAGGGTGAAGTGGGGTGGAGCCTGGCTAGTGCTGCACAGGTGTCCCCACAGTGCTGCTGTGGGATCTCTGAGGGTGCTGTGACAGGCCCTCAACCATCACTCTGGCTCATCCTGTGGCTGGAAAGGATGAGCCAGAGCAATGGCTCATACTTTTCTGTCAGCACATAATTTTCTTTTTACACTTACTGACAGTCTTGCTCAGGCCATACAATGGAGGAGATCACAGATGCTAGTGATGCTGTGTCACAGCCTATGCTGTGCTTCCTTCCAGAGCCAGAAAATGCCCTCAGGTGGTGCTGGTAGCCTAGTGCTGGGTGACTGTCCCCAGTGCTCCTGATCTTCTGCGGGGTGCTCATACCTGGGCCCCAGCTCCGTCTGTTGGAGTGCACAGCCTTTCCCCGTTGCAGGCTCCAGCTCCAGGCTCCTGGCCCTTGGTCAGGTCTTCAGAAGGTGCTTCACTCCCACTGCCCACAGTCTTTTGGCTAGGTTTTTCTTAAAGACATAGTTATATCTCCTGAGGAACATTCCCACTAAAGGCAGAGCTCTGTGTTTTCTGTAGGCACTAGATTGCTAGTGCATTGTGTGCCAAAGCAAATCCCTTCTTAAGTGACAAGACTGGGAAGTACTACTGTTCCTCCTGCCCTCAGTGGGGACAGCAGCAGCTCTCCTTACACTGACCTGCAGAAAAGCAGTGCTAGTGCATGCTGGAGTGCCTGAGCACTGCATTTCCAGGCCTTACTGGTGTGGGCTGCTAGTGAATTCAGTTCTACCTGTCAGTTCTCGGTCGTTCAGCACTTTGGCTGTGGATACTTACAGTAATTTTGTTACATTTCTAAGAATGCCCTGGTGTTTGCTCTAACTTTGAACTAAGGTGTGATTTTTTTTATTTTAAACATGGGAATACACTCTGGTAGTCCCCAGGCTGTACGTGAGCCAGCACATCCTGTGCTCAGGTTACGCTGATGCATCTCTCTTTACAGGCTCTTGTTGTGTCACTGTAAGTAGTATAATTTCACCTCTGTTATGTCCTCTCTAAAACTGGCATGGTGCTGTCCTTCCACACTCTGGCTACATCAGGAACCTCAAAGCATAGGATGCAGGGGACCAACGCAGAGTAGTAGATGTTGTCAAGGTCAAGAAAGCAGCAAGTGAAATAAGACAGGACTGTCTGTTCTAGACTGTGTAGCCTTCTGGCAAGACACCAGTGATGTTGCTAGATAAGCAAAACCCAGACTGGTGTGTCCTGAAAGGTTTAATATTCCAGACACTTCACCTGTCTGTCCTTTAGTAGGAAATATCTTTGGGGCTGATTAATACAGCAGACCTGCTGATCTGTGAATATTCAGGTTAGAAAGGGCCATTGGGATAGTATAGTCTTCTCCAGTCCTGCACAGTGGAGGCCAGAACACTCACTGCTAACTTTGCATCTGTGACAGGGCTCATGAGTGAATGGGAAGTGAGCTTTGAGGATGCTCAAAGTCTAGAAGTGATATACATAATCAGGTGGATTCTCTCTTTGATGATGCACCTGACATGGGCTGCCCAGTGATAGTGTCACTTAGGCAGATGGCTATCAAGAGGCAGGCAGAAATCCTCACTTTCAGAATTTATCTACAGTAGAATTTCAACAAGAAGTCCTGTATATGCTATTTCTTTCTTATTACTCTGGATCTGATCTGAACAGAGGTGTTTGGAGATCTGATCAAGTGTTTTCCACCCCAGTATGTCTTGGACAGTATTCCATATGACTCAAACCTCCCATGTGTTGATATCAAAAACCCAACTGAACATTAAAAAAAACCCCAATCAATTCAGGCTACCTTATGAGATCCTGAGGCAAACAACATTGTATTTTATCCTGTGTTATTGCTTAACTCCAAACACTAAGACTGAAAATGTGCAGAATATACCCTTGTGCTGAAATTGTCTAACTCACCTTTGTTGCGAGCCTCACCAAGCCTTTCTGAGAGGGAGAACATCATTTCACAAACATCCCCACTGCAAGACAGAAGCTGTACAATTAGTGTGAGGAATAAAACCAGTAGCTTGTCCTACTTGGCTGCCTCTCAATGCCTGATGGGAAGCCCAACAGAATAAACTGGTATTTCAGATGGCCAAGGACCTCCTTACAAACTACACTGGGATTAGCATCTGTGTATTCAAACTGACTGATTTAATCATAATGGCCCATGTCTGGTACTAATACATCTTCAGCTAGGTATACAAAATTTATGTATGGTACTGAGGGGCTTTGGTCCAGGCCCCCAGCGCATGACATGCACACACAAAGCAGTAACATTCACATACCTGTGGATTTCTGCAAAACCAGGGATATATGCCTCCATCATTTCCACAAAGGTGTCCATGTCAAAAGTCTCCTCAGAGGACTCTGGTAAGCCCAGCTCTTCCAGAACACCAGTGATGTAAGAGAAGAAAACATCATCCATCCCACTGGAGACAGAGAAAACATAGGACATGGCAGTAGGGTCAAAAGGCCCATTTTTCTCACTCTTTTTCTCCATCCTCTTTCCCCCTAACCTTGTGTCTTTCTACCAGAACAGCAGAAAGACCTATGTGGACTGTATCTTATGGGCAGATTCCATCAGTAAAGCCAGGTAGCAGGTGGTTAGTGGTTGAGTGGGAAGCATTTACAGATAAAATACTGCACGCCTTCCTGCTTCCTGGCCAGCACTGAATGAAAGTCCCAGTGTGTGCCCAAAGGCTGTGCCCCTGTAGGTGCTTCAGCTCAGCTGATCAAAATATACCAAGTGCTCAAACCCTGACTTTTCTATGCTAATTGGTATTTCAGGTAAGAGCATCATATTCTGTCAAATTGCAATTTCTATGGGATGCAGTGTTCTCTGCTTGCTGCTGTCCGCACTTGTGTCACTGCTGCCACTGGCTGCAAAACCAGCCACTGTGTTCCAGCCTCAAGGTGGCTATATCTCTGCATGCAGGCAAAGTTCATAAAAGGGAGAGCCCTGACATAGCATTACGCAGCTCAGAAAGCCGTTTGGGAGCACTGTGGAATGAAGGGAATCCCATATTCTAATGTGCATTACTGGACAGGAAATTAATCATCTTGGCTGTCAAAGAAATGACATTGCTACATTGCAATGCTAAACAATAGTTTTTGAAGCATTCCCATCAGAGCCTGTGTAAATTACCTGCATCCTGGATCTGACTTAAGGAAAAGCAACACAAACTACAGGAAAGCTACAGAGTTCAGTATAATGTGTAGAGGGACAATTAACGCAGAGTTCAAGCTAGAACAATGATACTGGATCTTCCTATCTCAACATACCTGAGGTCTGCTGCAGGGATGTGGGATTGGATGAAGCGTGTCAGTGTGTCTCGAATGATTCTTTCAAGCTCCATGTCACTCTAAACCTTTTTCTCTAAAATAAAGAGGAGGAAAAAGAAAACTCCATGTAATTTCAAGGACAAGAAGTAGATCAAAATGTCAGCAAGATCAAAAGGTAGGCATGGTATAGGCAAATGTGCTCTTCCCATCAGAACAATTCAAACTCCTCCGGTATGTCTTGTCATCCCTGGGTAACAGTAGGCACAGATATCCACAAAAAGCAGCAGTATGAGGATCCACTGGAACTACCAGCCCAAAGCAGCCCATTATCCTGGGCCTCTCCCGTTCATGTTGATGCTGGCAGTATGCAGATGTACTGTACATTTAAAATGTCCCCTCCAGGAAGCAAAGCTGGAAATGCAGATGTGTTCAACTGCAGGACCTCAGAGACACCTTCTGAGCTGGAATGCTGTGCTGTCCAGAGAGGAAGCAGGGGGTAGTGGGTCTGCATGCTCAGTGTAGAAAGGGGTGGACCTTCCAGCTAAGAGCATCTGCAGTGATGCTTGGACTCAGGAGCGAGTGGGAGGAATGGTAATGTCTCCTAAAGAGAAGACAACCTAGACCGTATTTTACAGGGAAATACCAAGCAGGGCACAGACAACTAGTCTGCCAGCCAAAATATCAAAGGTCTCCAGGTCAGACCCAGACTGCCAGTGGAATCCTGCCCAAACAGGAGCCCGTTGTTGTGCTGGGTAAATGAGCCATTCTGCAGTTGATGAGGCTGCAACAAGGGGCGCTTGATAACCCAAAACTCAGGGGAGTTCTAAGAATCACAGAGCTCCTACAGAAGCAATGGCAGAGGGAGGCTGCCCACAGCCCTCCCTCAGCTGTCAGTACTGGTCCTGGACTGAATTGGGTGGAGAAAAGCTGTTTCTTAACCATTCATTCCCCCTGGGGCCTACAAAGCTGCTGGGTGGACAAACTCCTGGTGTAAGCACTGAGTTGTTCCAAGGAAGGAAACTAGACCTGCATATAGAGAAACCAATGTGGTCATTGGCCAGAGAGCTTCCAAAGGTCATCATGCTCCTGCCAGTGCAGCTCCCTCATTCCAACCACACCAGGACCCGACCAGGTCTGTTTGACACAGAACTCACAGAGCAGCTGTGTGGGTTGTTGAGAGACAATTCCTGTGTTCCAAAAAAGGTTTGATATTTCCCAAGATGAGACTTCCAGAGCTAGCAGGATATAAACAAAACCACCACACAGCACTCAGCACTGCTCTTGCAGGACCTAGAGAGAACCAAAGCCCTGCAGCCAGTTGGTGTAGGTCCATCTGCAGACTTGGGGCCCATCCATGCTCTGTGCTGCGTTTGGCCACCCCTGCAGGTGCCAAGAACACATGTGCACTCCTCTGTGGCTGGCCAGAGGAGCATGCCCAAGTCAGTCAGACCTGCCTCTGGCTGTGGTCATTCTATAGGCTCTAGGGGCCTCTGTCACCTCTGAGGCTCTAGGGATTTGACTCTCAATATTGAGGGAGAAAGCTGGGACACAGGCTAACGCAAAAGTGCCCTGCTGGGTACATGGCATCTTACATTGCATCTCCCTGCAGTGATTCCCCACCAAATATTCCCACTCTGCACTCTTCAGGGATTTGGACAAACATAGCTTTTGCTACCAGAAGGGACCATCTCTTACTGAATCCCTGTGTTAGTGCCATTCCTTTGGGGCAGTAGGGAGACAAATATGGAAAGAACCTCACAGCAGCGGGACATGAACAGTGAGACATGCTCATATAGAAGAACTGCCCCAATTTTCAATGTGTTCAAAGCTAAACACAAAAGCCATCTAATCACCTACATTTCCCTACAGCTACCACTGATCTGGAGCAAGTAACTAAAAAAGAAAACAAACCTTTACAAGTGCCTCTCACTTGGCGAAAATTAACAATGAGTTAAAAATGCCGTACACACTATATGACCAACATACATGTATTCAAACACAGCACATGCAGAAACAGACAGAGGAAGGGATCATTGGAATAGATTACTTGTTTGCTGTTTCTATCTTAAGCTAAAAAATTTTTTTGCTTCCCGTAATCTCAATTATAAAAATCCCATTTCACATAATTAGAGGATCACAAGAGTCCAAACTTTTTCAGGTAGGAGCTCTTCATGCAAACACCCAAAGTGAGCTTCTGAGCTGCTTTTACTTTTTCAGCCTCACAAGGATCCTTTGTTTGCATTTTTCTCACTTTTGCAGATGTCATGGCCTGCAAGTGTGGAAGCTGGCTGCTAAAACCATGTGTAAAAACACCTTCCTGCTACCCGTTTGTTGTTTGTGTGTTCTCCAGTGGTGTGACAGAACCAAGTTTATCTTTTTCATCTTTGCAACATACCCAGAAAAAAAGGTGACCTTTGTTCTATCCTTCTCAGACATCAAAAAGCCAATTATAAGATTCTGAATCTCTGCTGGCAAGAATAGTGTCCTAAGCAGCATGTTTTCCCCCCATTTTAAGCTGAATCTGCAAATGCTGGCAACTAGCAAGCCCCCTGAACTTGCAAGTACAAGAAAAGTAATTTTATTTTTTATAGAAATCAGCGATGGGATATCACCATAGAGCAGTCAGAATGTTCTTACTACACTCACTACTAACAAGAAGAATGCTTATTTCCTTCTTGCTCTGTATTCATGACATCCTGGGAACTGGAAGTCTAAAAGATTTTGTCCGTTTCCATGAAACAGGCCAAAATTCTGTAAGAGATAACTGTATAGTAACCAATAGCATTTCCTGACAACCCAATTACCTGAACAACAGAGCACAATTCACCGTGTCAAAGGCACTTTTGTGAGGTCCATAAATTAATTTATTCTGATCAACAGAACAGGCAAAGTCACTCATCTCCTTAATCAAAAGCAGTTTCAAGCAAGTGTCAGACCGGGACAAGAGAAACAGAAAAAAGATAACTCGGCAACAGGAGTATTGCACCTACAGCCAGTCACTAACTGGTCTTGAATCCATTCCCCAACCTATGACAACCACCAAGAAATGCTGGTGTGAAGTGTTTGAAAATAGGTGTTTTCCTGTGGAGTTACCATGCTGTATCTGAACAAAAGCTATTTCCTTGTGTCTGTGTGAGGAAAGATGGCAGCAGGTTTTAACCACTGGGTATAAATTCTCTCTGGCATCTCAGAAGAATTCACCCACCAGCACACCGGGATTCAAGGCTTACATACAGAGAAGCCAAGCTGCCACCTTCACTCTATCTTTGAAGAAAGGAAACCCTTTAAATGACAAAAGCACAGTCTTACACTGAAGGACAGAAAAGAGCTGGGTGATCAAGTATTCAAAGGTCAGCCATTGCCCTTTCACCTGAAGAACCCATCTCTGCTCCTGTAAAACCAGAGGCACCAAGAGACAAATGCACTTGCATTTGGTCATTTATTGGTATGGGGGAGAGATTTTATTCCCCAGTAAATAGTCCTCACAAAACTTAACATCTGGGGGATCTGTAGTGCACAATGTTCTTAGCCAAATGACGCTTGTGGAAGGCAAGTCTTGAAGGTCTTCTAGCTTTTCAGATTTGGAGGGTATTTTCTTGAAATAGAGGGAGCTGATTAAAAACTTATGTACAAATATTTTTAAATGGATTCTTCAAGGAATAAACTGATGTTGCTACACATTCCTCCCCAAACAGCAAAGTTTAAAATTATGTAACACAGGACACCAAAACACCTGACACATTTTACCTTCAAATACCACATTTTTTCTAGTGGTGACCTGCAATAGTTAAGAGGGAGATTTACTAGAAGGACTTATCCTATGTGCAGGTTTGTGGAGGAATGATTTATAATGCACAGAATGATCTAAAACCCAAAGGCAGGAGCAATTACTCTTCTGAGAGCTCAATTTTACTGAAAAGGTGTTAGCATAGTTTTAAACTTCCAGCCATAATTGCAATGTGGATTTTAAGAGCACTTCAGTAGTTGTCAGCTGATTCAAACATATCTATGAAAGTCCTTCTACATTTCTTGTCATTATAATGTGGGCTCTACTTAACATGTTGCACAGAATCTCTTTTTAAAAACATATGGTCAAGAAATGGTATTCTTATTGCTCTGCCCTCAGCCACAGCCTCACAGTTTTGCACTGTCAGAACAAAAGACCTTCAACCCTTGGACATCCCTGTCACTTTCCAGACAGTCTTTAAACACTGGGGTTTATTATTAAAGAGTGAGCAGCAGAGCAGTGTATGGAATCTCATTAAGACAGGTGTGATTTGAAATATCAGGACTGCTTACTTGATTCATGTAATATTGCATGGCATACGTATTTCCTCACCTCAGGCAAGAAAAGTGGTATCAGTTCTCAAAATGTGAATGTGAAAATCCTTCATTTTCTGTACTAGATACTTTGGCCAGCAGCTCAATAGTTTGCCACCCTACTGTCTGTCCTGAGAACCTAGTAATCTCCGTCACCCTTGCATTTTCCTTCCTAACATGTCAATGTCAAATTTGTTGTGGTTTTTTTTTTTTTTTTTTAAATGGCTGCAGAAATAATAATCCTCTAAAAATATCATTATCCTTGTGGCATCTGAAATACCTACTTATGCTATATTTAAGAAAATTTGGGGGTTTTTTGTACAATTCATATGAATCTGCCTTCCTTAAAAACAAAATGGTGAAAATCTGAAATGTTTGCATACAGCTAGATCATTTCCGGAGGCTCTTTCAACTCAAATTTCAGTAATCATTCTCAAATGGTCAATGTGATGATATGGGAATGATTGATTGTTCCTTGGACTTTATATTAACAAGATAGACTGGAAAGCAATTTAGGAAAATGTTTCTGAGGTAAGAGGAACTGCCATTCAGATGTATATCAACTTTTATGAGATCATAAATTTGCCTACCAATGACTTGAGGTTTCTGCAAATGGAAGGAGATGGGTGTTGTATGCCTTGGATGTTTCTCAGAACAGGTTAGAGAAAGTTTAGGTGAATCTGACCTAGCTGAAGGATTGATTAGAACACCATGAGAAGGTTTCTTTAGCTCAAGTTTCTGAAATTCAGAAGTAATGGGACATGGAGGGTTCACTGTGCTCTCTCTGAAAACTTGTTATATGAGAAAGCACAGAGCACGTCTCATGCAGCTCTGGTGTGTGTGTGCCTGTACTTGGAAAAGTGCAGACCCCTGGGATATAAGAAGCTCTCAGTATAGCCTGTGACATACAGCCTCAGAGGAAATGTCTCAAAAGCCAGATCTGCAGGACAGAGAGCAAGCTGTGGCTATACTCCACTGAACTAAACCTCCTGAAAATCTGCTGGCTTGAAAGAAAACTTTCCAGGCTGAGTAACACCTTACAGACATAATTTCAGTGCTCCCATTTTTTGTTTTGCTGCTAAAGAAGTCCCTGAAAGGACTTTCATGGCATGTTTGCTATGGGAAAGCAAGCTGAGGTCATTGTGCACGTTAACACAATTAACTGCTTAATGCTCTAACACTAAAATAAGGCTTCTGTTAATAACTTAGTCCCACTAAATTACAGTAATATAGTAATACCAGCAGCCAGACACTTCCCTCCTCCCCAGATCTATGATGGACAGCTGCACTTGGGTAGTGCTCTGCTGACTCGGGGCTCTTACCTGAGCAGAAGTATTGTCTGTGCAAGGATCTTGACTTAAAACCGGTGTTTACAAAATCATGTCAGTGCCTGCAGAAATGCTGATGGTCCACCCTACGGCTGCTTGGCCCAAGCCATGAATGAGGAGTCCTTTACAGGAAAGGAAAGCTGAATTAGCTGGAGTGGGACCACAGCAGAATCGCTCTCTGTATATTGGTGTTTTTATGCTTTGTCACTTATGTCTGTTTCCCCTAATACAAAGAGTACAGTTTTATCCTTTGGAATAAAAAGTACTACGTGAAAAGCTAACTTGGATGCGATTATAGCATCCTTGTTAGCCTTCAAATTCACTGCCCCAGTAGGATTTTTCAACATTTACAATTTCTGTAGCAAGGCCTCTGAACATCACTGACATATTCCAAAAGCACTGGTGGCCCCATTGCCTCTGTGAAGCAGAACTTGTTTCTGGTGGCTTTGATGAGACAGACCAGACAGCTAGCGTGGGGTTTCCCTGCTGCTACTTCTGTGTACTTCTGGCACATCGCCATGGCCAAGGCACCACTGAGTCCCATGCTGGGTCAGTGGCTGGCATTTGTCTTGAGCTGTAGTATCACACCTAACTATCGACTCAGCAGTTGTGGGGTGTTATTTATTTTCACCGTGTCTCTTCCTCCTCACTAGCAGACAAGAATAATCTCAGGGGAAGCTTGACAGAATTTGGCAACAGGGTGCCCAGAACAGCCCGTGAGCGGCCCGAGCGGCACCCCTCACCCCGGCGCAGTTCCCACGCTACTGCCGAACACGCCCCCCCCGCCGCAGCCGGCTGCGCCGCTGCAGGGCCCAGCCC